TCAAGTTGACGTCTGTGGCCACATGTGATCCCTGGTCAATCAATTAACATCATCTGCCCAATGTCAAATGACTAAATACATCATATTATTTTTTGTAGTTTATTTTGAAACTTATGGATGTCAAATGAATGAGAACGACACAGAAATTGCGTGGTCTGTTTTGAAAAGTAATGGATTCCAGAAAACAGACAACATTACAGAGGTGAATATAGGAATGTTGATTATTCTGTGAACTAATTTCAGTAGCAGTAGCCGACAACCACATTCTAATCAGTTCTGAGAACGAGAAGGCACCACTGATATGTTGCACTTGAGCCTATATACACGGCAGAATTTTAAACATCAAACCAACCTGTCAAAAAAAACTGCTCTCTGATTGGTCTGATTGTTATGTGGTTGGGTCGGGTAGCCAATCAGGTACAATCTTTTAAGTAGCTTTGCATTGACTCTTACTCAGATTGTGTTTAAAATGGCCGACTGGTGGCCATTTTGTTTCAAAGCTCCTGATCCATATATTCAACATGCCTGAATTGATCAAGTTCAGACTTCACAAATTAGGTCATATATCACGTGTCTATAATACAAACTGAGACTATGTCATTGACAGTGACTTGTTTTTAATAGGCTGATGCAATATTTGCCATGACCTGTGCTGTCAGAGAAAATGCTGAACACAAAATATGGTCAAGATTAAATTATTTTAATTCATTGAAGAAAAAAAGATCAAAATCAGAACTTCCTCTGAAAATAGGTGTCTTAGGTAAGTATTGCCATTGAATATATATATAATGTGGCAGTTGTGCGTTCTGATCTCCCAGAAGTCACTTCTGGTCTTCTTAATTAAAGATTACACAAAGTCACTACAGATTCTCAGTATTGTGAGGGTGGGTGATATTGCATTATTTTAATAAATAAAAATTTAAAATAAAACAGACAAAACAAAAATCCCTTAAAAAATGATCAATCCAAGTTGTTCGCGTAATTACATGTATATTCTGCATGTCCATTCACCCCCCCCCAATCTATGGCAGCGTTTGAGTGGAGAACAAATGACTGAAGTTTACGTTTCTGTGAAATGCCTGGTATTTTTTGCCCCAAAACCATTTATTGGTACATCAATATTCATATTTTTTTTTTATTAGGAACAAAATAAATTTTTAAAGTGAAAAAAGTTTCAAATTCAATCGACACCAATTTTTATGTATTTTAAATGAGGCTCCCCATTAGCTTCTCATTTGCATACTCAGATACCCCTGGTGGCGTATGCAGGGGAACTTGCTGGTCAGTGTACATTGCCGATAATGTATATAAAGCATATTTCTTATTCAATTTTCTCATCTTTGACTAAATTGCCACTCACGTACTTGTTCCTCTGGGAAGATTGGACTTAAAGGAACACGTATTATCAAGTTTACTTCATTTTAGCCGGAATTAATTTGGGCTGAAAAAACGTTTTGGGGGTTTTGTATGGAATATATTTTCACTGATATTTGACAAGCTATATCGTTAATAGTATTATAAAACTATAGCAAGATTATGGCTTGCCCTCATATTTTGGCATTTGTTGGCGCACTTTTACTTTGGCTAGAGTCGGAAAGCCGGTAATAGTTGAGAACACAAGAAATACCTCAAATTTACTTGGATACGAGTAATCATTTTCAACAACAAAAATCAATAATTGTCTATTTCAGTGGAACACAATTCTTAAATAGGAATTGTGTTGGTGGGCATTTCATAGGCACATTAATTATAGCTCACTTTTACAACGCTGTGTGTTTAGGGTTACTGCAAGTGGTGATTTGGTTAGTGCTGTAAAATCTGTATTAGAAGCTGCGGCTTCTATTAAAATAGTACAATGCAGCTTCTATTAGAGCATCTACACATATGAGAAATGGTTAATTTTTGGTTCTCAGTTGTTCAGAAAGAATGTGTGCGACTTCTAATACAGATTTTACTGTAGTAGAAAATAAATTAAATTTTAGATACATGTATTAAAATAATTGACAGCATTATTGCTTACATACAGGGTGTATGGCAGAGAGATTGAAAAAACAAATCATAGAAAAGAATCCTGCTGTTGATTTGGTAGCTGGTCCTGACTCTTATAGGGACCTACCAAGACTCTTGGCAATCACAGAATCCGGACAAAAAGCAGTCAATGTAATATTATCATTAGATGAAACTTACGCTGATGTTTTACCGGTTAGACTGAATCAGAATTCACCATCAGCTTTTGTGTGAGTATCACGTTGTATTTTTCATCTCATATTCTCAGGGCAGATTTCCAGGCATTTTCACTGCCTGGTAACCATCACTGGTGAAAACAAAAGCTAAACTCTCTGGGAACGGTATTTAGGGCTAGTTGTTGAGACTCCCCTGAACAGTATAACAAGAATACCACTACATGTGCAACGTGTATACATTTGGTTGCAGGATTACTTCAAAGTTAAATTTGTGCTGTTTCGTCGACTTTAGATGTTTTCACAGGCTTCTTGACCGGCGTTCTGCAGTAGCTTGTACATAGCCCATAGAAATAGTACAGTGGTACACATCCAAGCAACATAGAACATCGCCCATAACAAAAGTCTGCTGTCATCCCAACACAAAAATATTAAAAACAAAAGATATTGCTCTGTGTTTAACTTTTACAAATTGTTGGTTTCAGGTCTATCATGAGAGGATGTGATAATATGTGTAGTTATTGTATTGTACCATTTACAAGAGGAAGGGAAAGAAGCAGACCTATTCAATCTATAGTTGAAGAAGTTAAAATACTCTCTGATCAGGTATGAGTTTGTTATGCTGTGTTGATTCTTCGTGTGATGATTACTTGGACGAATAACCGGTTGGTTGCACAGGATTACTTCAAAGTTAAATTTGTGCTGTTATTATAAGTATTATTATATAGGTACTACATGTGGACCTCTCTCAGATTTGTTCTTTTTGTAATGATATCTTTAATTCTCTATTTTAGTGAATATTTTTGTAATTTTTGGTAAAAAGTGATATTTTCGACTTCTTGTTAAAAACCGCAAGTCCAATCGCTTTGATACTATATATATAGGTACTACATGTGAACCTCTCTCAGATTTGTTCATTTTGTAATGATATCTTTAATTGTCTAATTTTGGTGAATATTTTTGTCATTTTTTGGTAAAAAGTGATATTTTCGACTTCTTGTTAAAAACCGCAAGTCCAATTGCTTTGATATTACATATATAGGTACTACATGTGGACCTCTCTCAGATTTGTTCTTTTTGTAACGATATATTTAATTCTCTAATTTTGGTGAATATTTTTGTCATTTTTGGTAAAAAGTGATATTTTTGACTTTTTGTTGAAAACCGCAAGTCTGATTGCTTTTATATTACATATATAGGAACTACCGTATTTATCCGGGTATAAGCCCAGGGTCCTGAACATGGAAAATTGCCAAAAAGAAGGGGTGGGCGTTTGCCAGGAGATCCCCGGCAAAAAAACGAAAATTCGCGAAAATTGACAACACGCAGATCGAACTGCGGCAGGGAAGAGAACGGCAAATGAAAACATGCAACTGAAATAAATGAACAATATGCAACACTAGAAGTAAAACAAAAATAATGTATTGCTTATAATGTGACAAATAAACCAG